AGGACAGAGTCAGACAGGTCCAACATCTGGAGACAGGACAGAGTCAGACAGGTCCAACATCTGGAGACAGGACAGAGTCAGACAGGTCCAACATCTGGAGACAGGACAGAGTCAGACAGGTCCAACATCTGGAGACAGGACAGAGTCAGACAGGTCCAACATCTGGAGACACACAGGACAGAGTCAGACCTGGGAGCTGTCCTCGATGGCTCTGTGCAGGTGTTTCAGCTTCAGGTGGACGGCGGCTCTGTTGGAGAGCAGAGCGGGGGACTTCCTGTTGATCCTCAGGGCCAGACTGTAGGCGTTCAGGGCTCCCAGGTGGTCTCCACTCAGAAAACACTTACTGCAGAGACACGCTTTGATCAGAGGAGGTCAGGAGGAGGCGGAGCCAAAGGTCTGAGCCGACATCACTCACTCGCCTCGGTCCTTTAGCCACTCGGGGTTCCTCTCCTCCTCTCTCAGGTCCTTCAGCTCGTTAAGGTCTGACTCGAGTGCTCGACTGGCTTCGGCTTGTTTCCTGAGCCACTGATGGACAAAGACTCTTATTTCAGCTCATCAGAGGGATAGAAGTGAGACGTGATGCTCACATGGAACAGATGAAGCTGCCACAGCTGAAGGACCTGAGCCATTACAAAAGTGTCTGCAAATCAGCCGNTAAAGTTTGGTGTGGTGGTAGCTAAAGTTTGGTGTGGTGGTAGCTAAAGTTTGGTGTGATGGAGGCTAAAGATTGGTGTGGTGGTAGCTAAAGTTTGGTGTGGTGGTAACTAAAGTTTGGTGTGGTGGTAGCTAAAGTTTGGTGTGGTGGTAGCTAAAGTTTGGTGTGGTGATAGCTAAAGTTTGATATGGTGGTAGCTAAAGTTTGGTGTGGTGGTAGCTAAAGTTTAGTGTGGTGACAGCTAAAGTTTAGTGTGGAGGTAGCTAAAGTTTGGTGTGGTGATAGCTAAAGTTTGGTGTGGTGATAGCTAAAGTTTAGTGTGGAGGTAGCTAAAGTTTAGTGTGGAGGTAGCTAAAGTTTGGTGTGGTGATAGCTAAAGTTTGGTGTGGTGATAGCTAAAGTTTAGTGTGGAGGTAGCTAAAGTTTAGTGTGGAGGTAGCTAAAGTTTGGTGTGGTGATAGCTAAAGTTTGGTGTGGCGGTAGCTAAAGTTTGGTGTGGTGGTAACTAAAGTTTGGTGTGGTGGTAGCTAAAGTTTGATATGGTGGTAGCTAAAGTTTGGTGTGGTGGTAGCTAAAGTTTGGTGTGGTGGTAGCTAAAGTTTGGTGTGATGATAGCTAAAAGTTTATGGTGGTAGCTAAAGTTTGGTGTGATGATAGCTAAAGTTTGGTGTGGCGGTAGCTAAAGTTTGATATGGTGGTAGCTAAAGTTTGGTGTGGTGGTAGCTAAAGTTTGGTGTGGTGGTAGCTAAAGTTTGGTGTGGTGATAGCTAAAAGTTTATGGTGGTAGCTAAAGTTTGGTGTGGTGATAGCTAAAGTTTGGTGTGGTGGTAGCTAAAGTTTGATATGGTGGTAGCTAAAAGTTTGGTGTGGTGGTAGCTAAAGTTTGGTGTGGTGGTAGCTAAAGTTTGGTGTGGTGATAGCTAAAGTTTGGTCTGGTGATAGCTAAAGTTTAGTGTGGTGGTAGCTTAGAGTCATCCTCAACACATACTCTGAATGCTAAACCAGCATCCACTGTTTCCCCTTTTTCAGCAGCTAATTAAATATTTTAGCACTGTTCAACAGATTTTAGCTACCTTTGCATTGGTTTTAGCTGGTTGTAGTTAATGTTAGGTGGTTTTAGCTACTATTTCACTGGTTTTAGCCCTGTTTAACTGATTTTAGCTACCTTTGCACTAGTTTTAGCTGCGTGTTGCTGGTTTTAGCCACTGTTGAACTGTTTTTAGCTGTTTTCAGTCTTGTCTGTTTGTTGGAACATCTAACCGACGCTCTCAGACTCACCTCCTCCTCCTCCTTGACCTGGGACTCTCTCAGAGGGGTCGGGAATTCTCGAGGGGTGAAGGTGACCCGAATGGTTCTGCCGGGCCTCGGAGGAGGAACTTCTGCTGAGTTCTTCTTCTCTGCGTCTCTGCGGACTTCACGAGGAACCTGCTGAGTAAAACTGACTGCAGGAGGAATATCTGACCGTCAGGAGGACACTCACCCAGCTGGTTCCTTCCTGGTTCTGTAGGTCCAGGTTCTGTGTGTTCTGGTTCTGAGGGTCCAGGTTCTGTGTGTTCTGGTTCTGAGGGTCCAGGTTCTGGTCTGGTAGCACTGGCTCTGGCCCGGTTCAGATGGTTCTGCCATGCTGCCAGCTCTGCTGTGGTTCTGTCTCGCTCTGCCTCCTTCATCCTCTGGATCCGGTCTCTCTCCTGGTTCTGCAGCTGAGAAGAGTTGCAGAGGTTCTGCTGAAGGCTTCAGAACATGAGGTTTGGGTTCTGCTGAGGAAGATGAGGAGCTGTTACCTTCATCATGGTCTCCAGAGTGTATTTCCTGTCTGCTTGTTGTTTCTCTGCTCTCTGTTTGGACTCTGCAGAGAGTTTCTGCTGCTGTGCGGTCAGAGCTCTGTCTCTGATGGTCCTCTTGGTTTCTTTATCTGGGACAAACCGGAGGACAGAGTCCACATCTGGACCACGCAGGACACCAGCTGCTCACCTGGACGTTCTTACCTGTGTTCAGCATCAGACGCTCCCAGATCCTCGGGGTTCTTTTAGGTAAAGTGAAGACGGCGACTCCGTTTCCGATCTTGGCGGAGCTTCGCTCGTCGTTGACCGGCTGGAAGAAGAAGGCCTCGAACAGGTGAGGAGGGAAGTTCACCTGAAGACCAGAACCAACAAACAGCAGGTGAATTAAAGCTCTAATGTCACCTGGTGGAAACATGACTCTCGGCTACTACCACCTGCTTTTACACTGAAACCTGTAAAACTGACTCAGGTGTCTATCAGAGGCTGTGGCGGCCATCTTGAATTGGGTTGTAGTTATGTGGTTGGTTCTGATCAGGCAGTGGTTCATGAGATATTTTACTAACAGAGGTGCGCACACTCACACAAACACACACCTGTTCATGTTTGGTACCGACCCAAACACACGATTAAATGTCCTGTAATGCAGGTTAAAATTAGTTCAATATTTTATAAAGTTTCACAGATCACGTGAGATTTCGCCACAACTCTCGGTTAAAGCTATAGATATAATACAAAGTTTTATTTTATCTATAGTTAAAACTTCAGCTAACAGGGAGGAAGTCCCCGGATTTTGGTGTAAAACAGGTGTGTGTGTGTGTGTGTGTGTGTGTGTGTGTGTGTGTGTGTGTGTGTGTGT